GTTGAGAAGTCTGCTGTGATTCTGATGGGCTTTCCTTTGTATGTGATTTGTTTCTTTTCTCTCACTGCTTGCAAAATTTTGTTCTTCTGTTGGGTTTCTGGAATCTTCACTATTATATGCCTATGTGTAGATTTTTTTTTTATCAACACTAGTTGGAATTCTATATGCTTCCCTTATCTGTATGTCAAGTTCTTTTCCTCTGCTTGGGAAGTTTTCTGCCATCACTTCTGTGAACAGTTTTTTTTTTTTTATGTCATCTGCACTCTCTTCTCTTCCTTCGTTGACTCCAATCAGTCTTATGTTATTCTTGTTTGTATCATCTAGTAGCTGCTGGATTGATTTCTCGTGGTCCCTTACTATTTTAAAGCAATTTTTCTTTTCCTGGTCACTAATTGCAATCTTATCCTCTATATCTGAAATTCTCTCCTCATATTGGCTCATCCTGCTGTGTCAACTTTCAATGGAGTTTTTAATCACCTGGAAATCTGTTTGCATCTGTTTTATGGATTCCGTTTGTTTCCTATGTTGGGATTCCATCATGTTCCTCAGCTCCTCTAGTTTTTTACCTGTGTCCTCTCTAGATTTATTAATCATGTCTTGCATTATGGGCACAATCTCTGCTGTTATCTAAGAAATTATTTCTGATTTCATTTTTTCCAGATCCTCTTTTGTTGCCAGTTCAGGGAGTCCAGGTGTTTGAGTATCAGATTATTCCATCTCATTTCCCTTTGGGGTTGCTTTAGGTGATCTGGAAGTCTGGTTTTGAGACTTGTTTACCTGTCTTCTCATTTCCCTGGGGGGCGGTGTGCTGCTGTCACTGACACGGCTCACCTCCTCAGCACTGGGGGTGGCTCTGCTCCTCGGTGCTGGGCTCAATGGTATGGTGGTCTCCTGGGCTTCTTTTACATGGGGAGCCAGGCAGGGGCTTGTCTGAATAATAAGCCTTGAGCTGGCCATGCGGAGAAGAGCAGCAAGAGTTTTCTAGGTAGAGAGAATAACATGTCCAAAGGCCCTGGGGTGAGAATGAGCTTAGCTCACCATTGGCTGGAGTGTGGCTGTGACAGAATGAGGAGGTGTGGTCAGGGAAAGAGCCAGAGCCTGCTCTGTGGTAGGCATGAAGAGAAAGTAAAGGATTGAAGATTGGAGAAGTTTGGGAAAAGCAAGTTGGGTTTCCATTGACTCTGAGAACACTCTGTGATCGTGGGCAGAAATCAGTCAGAACTCACTTGCTAAGTTGGAGGTGTTGAGCTTCTCCTAGGTTCTTCTCTTGCTGTCTTCCTTGAGGGTCAGTAACTTCCTTTTCCCTTGCCCAACATTTCTTACCAGGTCTTGCCCACAGCAGCTTTCCTGAGAGGCTTCTGAGGTGCCTGCTCTATCCCCGGTGCCTAGAGTAGCTTGTGTCATGTCACTGGTACTCAATAAATGTTTGCTGAATGAATGCATGATATTATCTACCAATGAACAGTTGACCAGATGGGCACAGGTCAAGTCAGCTTCCCTCTCTGTTGCTTTTCACTTAGTGGTATCAGCTTTTAAAGACCTCTTGCTTTGGGGTTCCCTTCAGAATCCCACTCACCGCTCCCTGAGAGGCCTGAGAAACCATTTCCTGTGGGCATTCCTGCGATTTCCCCCACTCAGCTGCCTTATGAAACACCTGAGGCTGAGAGGCTGGGTCCACACCAAGTCTGAGATAAAATATTGAAACAGCCTGTCTCGTGATATTTAAAGCAATCGTCTAAATGTGTTCTGTAGAGTCGCTGACAAAGATGTAGAATCCCCGCATTACCGCTCTTCAGCATCCACGGGAAAGAACCTGATGCAGGCAATGGCTGCCAACCTCACACCCCTGATGGCCCAGAACAGTCAGTCATTCCCCCTTGTTTCACTCAAGACTCATTTTCAAGGAGGAGACATTTTCTATCTGCCCCAAGTCCTACAGTGTTTATTTTTAGAGGTTCCAGTTCCATACTAATTTGTCAAGGGTTTGGAACCCGGCTTGGTCCTGGCTGAGGAGACTGCATTGCAAGAGGTGAGACAGAAACAGGAGTAGAATTCTGGGGCACACTGACCTCCTCGTCTCGAGTCTCTCCCACACTTGGGCCCTGGCTGTGGGCCCTCACCCACAGTGTCCCTGGGCCAGGAATGGAGATGGTAGCCCTTCACGCTTTCGTTTGAACATGAAGCCCTTGAGTATGCTCTGCACCAGGAATCTGTGGGAACCTTGAGAAATGAGATCTCCTTTTTCATCCCAATTTTACCTTGGACTAAGGAAGGAAAGGTGGGTTTGTGATTGCTGGAGCCTGAAGATGTCTTTGGTAGCTCCGGAAGCTGGTGGATCTCACAGAGTTTCTGGGAATTCTGAGAAGTCCAGGTAGTGCAAGGCGGAGGGTTGGTTTTCACAAGCAACAACTCCCCAAAGTGCAAGAAACCAGTGCCAGTCGTGCTGCTAGGCCTCAGGGGAGCTCAGAGGGATGCTTCTTCCTCCCGTCCTGGGAATGCACCATCCCTTCCTCTGATGCCAAAGTTATCTGACAACCTCAAGCACTGGAGAAAGGGTTTCCTGAGCACTGGTGAACTTCAGGTCAGATGCACCTTCTGTCTTATTTCCTTGGAAATGAAGAAACACAGGCAAAGAGCTGCACAAATGTGCTCAATTGCATTCAGAGCTCAAGGTCTCTCACCTGACATAAGATTTCCCTGGAGGGGGGTTCCCCGGGGGGCTGCAATCCAAGAAGGGCTGAAGAAAATGTTGTCTCTTCTCTTCAAGATGGGAAGAAAATAAGGGGGAAAAATAGGAATAGAGAAAAAAGGGCAGAACAAAAGTGAGCTAAACTATGTGGAGCTGAGTTGTTCTGAGCTCACGTGAGCTGAACGGAGTCTCATTAAATTGAGTTCCTTTAAAGCCATAAGAGAAGTTTTATTCTTGCCAACTCTTATCCAATTACTCAAGCAAGACTTGTTGCCTACTATGTTCCAGGTGCTGCACTGCATCCTGAGGTTGCAAAGAGTATGAGTCTTGCCGTGTGTCCTCAGTGAGCCCCTGGTTTCCCATGACAGGGACACCCATATTCAAGTTACTTGGGTATTAGTGGCAGCTCCTCTTTCGCTTACTTGTTTTCGATTTTCTTTCTCTTTTCTTCTGTATTCCCTTCTCCATTTCCCTGGCCCTGATCCTGGGCCTTGCTCTTCCTAGCTCTGATCTCTCTGCTTCTCTGACAGGTACACCTGTGTGCTTTTATTCATTGCATTGAGCTTTAGCTCATGTGTTCTTTAATTTAGAAGGTCGTAGGACATTGAACTTCTCCACAAAGCATTTGCTTGCCTGTTTAATATGGTTTCTGGATGGAAAAAAATGCCTTCAAATTAGGGTAGGGAATTCCTTCCAATAATATCTCGCAAAATAAGACTGAAAATCCTATTGGCTACATCTTTGAAGGACCAGCTTTAATCACAAATGTAGACCCTTAGAAAGCCCACTGGGAAGCCAGGGTTTTGCAGAAGTAGGAGGTGGCCCCTGGAGCAGAGCTTGGTGAGACACAAGTGGTTGGGATGGGGGTCACAGTGCTCCTTTCGCTTGGGTAACGAATACATGGAGATGGGAAGGAGCAGAAGACTCTGTTGACTGGAAAAGTTCTGTGAGCTCCCCCATCCTCAAGCAGTGTGAAATATTCATGGCAAGTTTTATTTTTCTATTAGGCAGATCCATCCCTTTCCTGTCAATAAGAACAAAGCCAAGGGCCAGAGATTTAGGTCAGTGGTTCCGCTGCCTGCCTCTAAAGCACAAGGTCCCAAGTTCGACCCCCGGTACCAAAAAAAAGAACGAACAAAGCCAAAAAAGGTCATGATTTTTCACTGTCAACAAGGAACAATGAGGGAATGAATTGGGGCTGAGCCTGGATGGAGAGGAGCCAAAAAGGATTCTGGTCTTCTCATTTTGCTTCTGAGCCCGAGGTACCCATGCCCTCCAAAGGCAGACCCTTCAAAGTCTTAATATCTTTGAAATCTTCAGGCATTACTATTTGGAAGGAGAGAGAGTAAAGGAAGAAATGGGAAGACAGAAGAGGCCCCGATCAGGAAAGAAAAGTAAGTGACCTCCCCAAGCAGCCCATGCAATGACCTATATTTCTGGGGGAAGCTTCTTTGATGCAGTTCCATAATTTAAACCCTAATATTTTTCATGCTCTATGATGTGTCTGATAGTCATCTTTAAAAATGATGGCCCAGGAAGTTCATTTACACAACAAACAACCCTGTGTTTTGTAGACAAATCAATATCTTCCATCAGGCATAGTTCATTGTCAGAAGAGGCACCTTCCCAAAGCTTGTGCCCCTTTGGGTACCTACCATTCGGGCCCTTGCTAGATGGAAAGCTGGCAAGCAGCAGGCAGAGCACTTTGCCATCACACACTACCACAAACACCCAACAGCTTGGGAAGAAACAGTAACTGAATGTGTTATCTCTTTACCTTGTAAGAGACAAGCAAATCATCTGTGTGCTAGAGTAGGAAAGAAAATTTATGGCCAATAATGGATTATGAAATAAATCAAGGAAGGAAGGATTCTTTGGGTTATAAACCCCAAAGCTTGTCATCATAAAATGATAGGGAATCTCCTTCTATTTCCTAAAATTAGTCCTTGCCTTTGAGACACAGTCATTAAAATTATATAAAACCCATTGTGGTGGACTAACTAATGGTCAACTTGTAAGGCCCAGCTGAACATTCAGCATGGTCTGGGTTTGGAGAACCCATCTGAGGGTTGTTACCAATAGCCATAAAGAGAGACCTGGAGGGGAGGATCATGGGCTGTTGATTTCCTAGGAGAAGCTTGCTGTGGATGCAAACTTGGCTGTTTTTGTCAGAGGAGAAGCTCAAGGCCTCACTGTTGCTGGGAATGGCTGCTCTTTTCATCAGGGGAGCTCTAATCTTCACCATGAGCATCACCTCCTGGCTCCAATGTGGCTCCCTCAGCCTGGTGGCACAAATCCTTCATCCCACTGGCATGGGTTTTCTGGCTTCCAGCATTGGCCTTTAGGCCTTCCAGGTACAGATCCTCAATACAGACAAGCATGAGACATTGCTGTGGGCTCTAGGAACTCATGGAGTTCAAGCCTGTAGCTGGACTTGTGAGGGACATTGCTTCGGGACCCAGGCCCTTGGCTGGATTCTTTAGGCCTCTAGTGTGTGTCTAATCTCTTGCATTCCTCTGCATTTGACTTTTTGGGTTAAAATCATAAAATAATCCTATGAACTATATGTCCTGTATTCAGTGTATTCCCTTGCCAAAACCCTGACCACAACACCTATCTTCAGGTCCTTTTGATGAGACTGAGGTTGTGGGAAGGGGAAGAGGGAACAAGGATAGAAGGAGATTGAGTTTTGAAAGTAGACTTAGCAGGTGGCTGTTTGAGAGGCCATGAGTGTCCATCGACCAAGAATGATCTAGGGAAAATTCACCAAGAGAATTCATGTTGGTTCAGCACATGACATACCCCCATAGAAGCTGAGAGATGTCTGTCCATGTCTGCTGCAGTGCTTGGGCTTCAGCGACTGTTGCAGGTCAACTGTGGTCATCATGCAGGGCCCACTCACTAGGCCCTGCCAGCTTCCCTGCTGGCACTTTATTAAGCTGGGTTCATTTATTCAGTTTGAAATTATGGTGGAGAACTGAGGCCTTGAGGTGTCTACCATGTCACAACGGATCTCTTCTTGTCTGTAGAGAAATTGGGCTCATCTACTGTCGTGAGGACTGAGGACCGCAGCTCCTGTCCTTCCCCCCAGCCCTTCTCCAAGAATACCACCGCCATCTCCGTCGCTGCCCACAGAAGCCTGGGGCTCCTGCTGCGGCCCATGAGGAGCCCCACCGTTCAGCACCTGACCTCACTGCCCATGGATGGGTCTGCTGCCTCTCCTGGGCCAGCCACGGATATCTCTGTCCACAAATAGTATTTACCAAACATGCCCATGTGCCCTCGTGGGCAGAAGTGAGGACTTCAGGCCCAGCAGAGACATCTTCTCCTGGCCTCTCCTTTCTCGCTACTCTTCCTCCCTGGCATCCTTGCTGCCCAGGCCACCTCGGGCTTCATAGCACCATCTCCACCCGCCATGTTGGATCACATCAGCCATGGTGGTCTCCGGCCTGTTACCACCAAATTCACCTCTTCCAAGGGCCTCTAGAAAATGCTGGATGCCTCCAATTGGGGGTGAATTCTCTTTGTTGGCAGTTGCTATATTGCAGTCTGAATGGAGCAGAGGATGCAAAGGGCCCCACCTGCCCCTGATGGGAACCAGGGTTCCATCCATCCTTGAGCCCTAGAGGAGGCCACTATTAGCTTTCCTGAAGAAGCCAGTCCTGGCCCTAAATGCAGATGAGCACGGGGAGACTGCACCCCTAGATTATAGTGCCCCCACCAGAGAAGTGGAACCTCACCAACTCCACAGGGACTCTGGGAGACAAAGTGTGGCTGGCTTCACCACCTCCTGCTGTTGGCCAAGTTGGAACCTTAGCAGAAACAAGGGGCTGGGTGGGCACCATCAGAACCATCTGACAGGTGAAGAAACTGACCTGGAGAAGGGTGAATGGAAATGGTCGGGGGCTCTCTGCTGGGCCCACCCACCGCTCTGCCTTGGGCCAGGGAAGCCCCTGTGAATGCAGATGGGAGACGCCTTCTAGAAAGTTCCCTGAGTCAAGAATTTAGAAAAAACTTCAAAGCCATGGACAGCGGCAAACCTGCCCTGCAGAACTCACATCCAGGGAGCTCGGGCCAAATTCAGCAGAGGCTTTTTGCCTAAACCTCAAATTCTTGGATTATAAAAAGAGCAACATCTGCATTTTCATATATTTTAACATTTAATAAACCAAGAATTCTGAATAATAAACATCTTGATGGAACAATTTCCCCCCCTTAGCCTTTTCCACTAGACAGGAGTGGGTCAGACACTCTGGCCACCATAGCTCTGGCTTTCTTACCAGAGGCTGCCTTTTCTTTTTTTGGTACTGGAGATTGAATCCAGGGTGTTCTGCCACTGAACTACATCCCTGAGCCTTTTATGTTTTATTTTGAGGCAGAGCCTCGATAAGCTGTCCAGGCCGCACTTGAACTTGACACCCTCCTGCCTCTGTCTCCTAGTGCTGGGATTGTAGGTGTGCACCACCATGCCTGACCAGGGACTGCCCTCAAGAGCCCAGCTGGGCATCTAGCCAGTCCGTTGGTGGGAGGTATGGACTGCAAACTTGCAGGCCAGGTTGTCAAGCGGGCAGTGGGTGTAATAAATACTTTATTGTTTCTTGATTCTGCTAGGTTGGACAGTACCAACGGTCTGTTAAGTAGCTTGCACAAAAACCTTCTCACCAGCTGGGGTTTTCTGTACATTTAATCTTGGCCTGGAAGGAGAGGAAGAAATGACTGCTAGCAGACACCTTGAGCTGCTCCTGCGGAGGCCCTAGAGCCAGAGGACAAATCCCACTCCCTTAACTTCCCACCTCAGAAACCCTTGAAGACAAAATAGTTCATTGTACAGTTGGAGCTCAGGACCCAAGTGCCTGAGGGCAAAGAGGGCAAAGAGGAGGGGTTTCTCTTTGCTACAGCCTTTTGCTGCCTCTGAGGTGCATGCAGTTTCGGACAAAGAGGGATGGGGATCCAGAGCAGGCCGGATCAGAGGCCACAGTGCTTCCCTGGGCTGGAAATACAACTGTGTTGTTCTCAAAATTGAGAGGAAAGTTGAATCTCCCCCTAAAAGCTCAGCTGCCTGCCACTTGGGAAAGCGCTCTAGTGCCCTCTTGAGCTGCGTTTCAGAGGGATCCAAAAGTCCAGAAGCAGCCAGTCCCGCCTTTCAAGGGCTGTCGCTGCAGGCCTGAGTGCTCTGTCTTCTGATTCCCAGCCTCTTGGCTTCTGCCCCTATAGATTCCCAGGTGACCTGGCCGGCACCTCCCATCCAGTGGGGATGTGGGGCCGGCACACTGGAGCTGGAGTTAAGCCAGCCCCTGGCCACCCTGCTGCCCGCCAGGGCCGGCCGGGCCACAGCCCCTCCTGCAGAGCAAGCGCCCCTCAGAGCTCCTCACATTATCAGTGAGCAGCAATTCGGTAATCTGGGAAGGTAGATTTCCTGCCAATTACTCCTCGATTGGGGGCAGGAGATGTATGTGGGGTCAGAGGGAAATCACCAAGCCGAGACTTCTTGTTTACCAAAGCTTCTCTTCTCACCTCTGCTTTCCTTCCCGATAATCAACCAACCAGCCCTCTCCCTGTGAGCGGCCACCTGGGAACTTTCAAAAGCTTGAGCCCCTCACCCTGGCAAAGCCGAATGCTCAGGTTTCAGCAGCCTGGAGCAGACTTCTGTGGGACTCATGTGGTTCCACTTAACGCTTTAACACTTCCCTTGTGGAGGGGCCGGAGGGGCCGGGGCTGGGCCTGCTTGTCCCCCATCCCTGTACCCTGTACTCCAGCCCTGGGCCCCTGGAGCTCATTCTAGAGGCTGCCAGCCTGGCCCGGGGCAAGGCGACTGGGAAGCTTCAAGGAGATAATGCTGGCTGAAGGAGGGTGCTCTTCGGCTGCTCTGCTTAGGGCACAACAAAGGCTTATTTTACTTTATTTCATGTGAGATTTACTAGATTTTCGGAGTGAAGTACAATATTCATGTGATCCTCAGCTGAGAGTGGCTTTGTGCTGCCACACCCGAGTAGGGGCAGGGTGCTGCCGACACAGGGTCCACACAGCCCAGGATGCTGCTGCCCCCTGCCGCGCCCAGTGTGGCCCCAGGTTGAGCCTTGAGTGGCCCTAGTGTGGGGCGCAGAAGTGCAGACCCCCTGCTTCGGCGGGCTGGGTTCACTTCCGGTGCTGCTGTGACAAACCACCAGTGCGGTGTAGTGTCCTTGTTGGGCTCTCGCTCTCAGAAGGAGCCCTGTGAAGCCCTCATTGCTACTGAAGGCCTCGTGTTCACAGGTTCAAGGTTTAGTTCAGGATGTGGATACCTCTGGGGGCCATGAGTCAGCACCCACATTTCTGTGGCCTGGAAGGCTCCTACATCCCCTCCTCACTCTTCAGGCTCCTTTCACCGAACACTTTTTTTTTTTGGTACCAGAGATCGAACTCAGGACCTTGCACTTGCAAGGCAGGTGGCAGAATCACTGAGCTAAATCCCTGGCCCCACTGTACACATTTTTGCCTTTTGTTCAGGTTAATGATTTTTGGAACAAGTCCCTCTTGACCAGAGGCCACAAATAAAGCATTAATGCCATTATAAAGAAACCCTACCGGATCCCTAGAAAGCAAATTCTTAAACTGAACATTCAAACCCAGTTTAGAAAGTATGGGAATGTAATTAAAAGAAGTGGTTTATTTTATAGCCAGAGAGATTCTCTTTCATCATGGAAAGGGAAGGGTATGGAAGAGGATACAAATTCCAGTAATTAAATATTTTTGCAGAGGGGCAAATTGGGGGAATTTTTAAGACACTTAATGTAACTTGTGAGCTTCTAGTGCTAGTCTACCAAGAATTATCCTTGGATGAGGCAGCGAGAGACGCAGCTGCCCCGTAGTGCCACAGCGCTAGGCGGGATTGCAGTGTTTTGGGTTACAAGCCTTCATACTCTTTCTGCTTCATCTGACAAATACAGGAATTGCACTCAGGGCCAAGCCCCAGGCTCAGAGGTGGGGATGGAGAATAGGAATGAAATGCAAAAGTGCTGGAGACCCGGTTGTTATTGGTGCTCCCCCTTCGCAGGGTGAGCTCAAGAGTCTGCAGTGCATTGTGCTAAGGGCTAAAGCTTCCTAGGTCTGAATTTTCCAGAACGCTGCCCTCGGAAGGAGAGGGCAGGGGGCCTGAGTCCCAGGCACCGAGGGGCGAGTTCTCTCCAACACCTCCCACAGAATGTCCACGAGTCGGAATCACAGTGTGCAGCCCTTTCAGATGGGCTGACTTCACGTAGCAAGATGTTTTCTAGGTCCCTTCTGTCTTTCTGTGACTTGTTGTAGTTTTGAATTTTTTTTTGCCTTCTTTCATCTTTTTAACACTTTTTTGTACTAGTACATGGTTGCAGTTCATGATGTTTAGATTCCTCGTGGGGAGCTGGTGTGTGTACTTACCATAGCTTAATTCCTTTTTCCACCCCTTCCTTCTCTTTCATTCCACCTCCCTCCATCTTTTCATCCCTTCCCATTTGAGAAAAATCTATCTCCCTACTTCCTATCATCTGTCCTTTATTTTGCTCTTTATAGTTTGGGCTTCTCGTATAAAAGAAACTGTGCGAGATTTAAATTTGCGTGTGATTTATTTCACTTAAGCTTATGGTCTCAAAGTACATCATTTTCCTACAGATGTCTCAAGTTTGTTCCTCTTAATGGCAGAGTACTCCACTTTGTATAATTATCACTTTTCTTTATGCATTTATCTGTTGATGGATAAATCTCTTCTGAGATTTGGCTATTATGACTTGTGCTGCCATAAACATGGGTATGCATGTATCACTATAATAGTGTCTTTCACACTTTGGCGAAGATACCTAGAAGGGGAACTGCTGGGTCCGATGGAATTTCTAGTTTTAGTTTTTTGAGGAAGCTCCACACTGATTTCCATAGTGCTTGTACCAGTCTGCACTCCCACTAACGATGCTGAGGATTTCCTTTTCCCCATAGCCCCACAAGCATTGTGATTTCTTGATGATGGCTGTGCTTTCTGGAGTAAGATGGAATCTCAGTGTTGTTTTAATTTGTATTTCTCTACCAGCCACAGATGTGGAGCATCCCTTCACGTATTCATTGGCCATTTGCACTTCTTCTGAGAAGTGTCTATTCATCTCCCTTGCGCATTTTTGATGGGTCTCTTATCTAGGCTGGGGTGTAAAGCTGAAGATGCCAGGGCATGAGTGGGAACCAGGGGACACCAGTCGGGCCATCAAAGAGCGATGTGTTTACCGTGGCTGGATCCCCGCATGTTTCTTCTTGCCTCCAGTGCTAGAGGGGTCAAGGTCAGGAAGTGTCATGGGAACTGTCCTTGTCCTCTAGTAACTCAGAAGCCGCTTCCCAGAGGGCCTGGTTCCCTGCCTTAGAGGGCCGAAGCTCATATTCTGAAGACATTTCTCCTCCATGCGCCAAGAGGTCTCGTGGCAGATTGTTGAGACGCTGTGTCTGGAAGTTCTGCCAGGAGGCTGGGTGTCACTAGGAATGGCTCAGCCAGGCCCCTGTCTTTGTCCCTGCTCCCCGGTGGGGCTGTCATTACGCTGCCTCACCATCTTTGACCCTGCTCACCGGTTTGCTGGCTGACGATCAAGCTGGCTGCCGGCCTCGGTGAGCTCACCCTGGAATATACATGGTGGGGTGTTGAGTCTCTGCAAATGGTTTTTTTTTCTTATTATTAAAACAATAATAGCTGGAGCATGAAACTGTGAATCTGCCAGTAAATTCTTATGAGAAATTTATTGCTATGATTGTATTTCAGAAATTGGCCATATTGTCCTGGGAGGAAAGACAATTAAACATTGAAGGATAAAACTCATGTAGGATTGAGATGGTGCCTTGCAGCAGAAGGTTTCAAAGACTGTCTCCCCTTCCCATCAAGTGCTATGCAGATGGCTTCAGAGGCTGAGGAGTGGCAGAGCCCTGTCCGGGTCCCAGTGAGGTCATAGCAGACCCGGCTCCTCCCCCGCCCCTCAGGGCTCCTTACTGCTGTGCTGGATTTGGGGTCTGCAGGGTGCTAATCCTGCTGCATGGCCTTGTAAGCCACAGGGGCCCCCAGAGTATTTGAGCTTGACTTGGGGGCTTCCAAGGGTCCTGGTGACAGAGGTCCCCAGTGGAGATGGCCAAAGAGCGGAAGTAAGAAGCGATCTGGAGAAGTGATCCGAAGCCCCTTGCTATGTCCGGAGCAGAGACAGCCAGGGAAGTCTAAGGCAGGGTCTCCACTGGGGACTGTGAGGAGGTCCACAGAGAGAGGGTCACCATCCGGAAGAAATGAGCTGGGTCCCTGCCTGTGGATTTCGGGGGAGGACAGAAGTATCTGCCGCTGGTTTGGTCTCACACAGAAGACGGGAGTGAGACCCCAAGATCCTCTGAGTGAGGTCTGGGGAGCACATAGCCCTGAGGGGCTTCCTGTGCCTGCAGATGCAGCAAAGAAGTAGAGATAAATTTGGATAGACAGTGGGGTCCTTGAAAGGAAACCCAGAATGCCATTGCTTCCATCTGCGCTAGGCACAGTGCAGGGGACAGCGTGGCTTTGCTTGGGCACTGAGAGCCACAGAAGGCTGGTGAGAGACAGGGCCTGGTGATTCTGGGCACAGAGGAGCTTCCAGCCTGCT